TTCCAAGTTAAACCCCAGTTAGCTATTTACACAAAGTAAGCAAATTACCATCACTTAAAGACAAAAAACCTTGGCTAAAAACTATTACAAAAAATGTGGAGACGAGAAACACATTAACCTCTGCTTTTCACACCATTACATGTACACCACACAAAACAATATCCCCGATACAATATGTACCGCAGCCAAACATAGAATATGCACACACCATGAGCTTCGTTTAAGGTTATTTTTTATAACTAATCCCATGTTTCTGTCTTACAGCTTGGGCACATGACAGGTAGACTATTCGGTGCCTGTCCCGTGAAAGTGAGTTTTCTCTGGATACTTATGTTTCACCTACAACAAGTTCCACGGCATTGGATTTATTGATCCCCGCCAACCTGTGACCCTGATTATAGGCCGTCAATCTTTGTCGAAATCCGGGATGTCAGCTTTCATTTCGCCATCTCTGTCTTCACCAGTTCTCAGAGAAAAAATTAACTCAAGACTAATATCCTAATACAGTTATTAAAAGCCCACTTTAATTAAACGTAATCTTCACGAGCGGGGGCAAGGGGGGTGGGTAACACTTTCCCTGAAGACCCCAGTCGAAGAAAGTTTCTTTTCATTTAAAATTAAACACCTGCCTTGAATAATAATAAAAAAAAACTACGAAAAAACGTGCACAAATAATATTACAATTCATGTTAGAAGGTCAAGAATAACCCCTCATTTCACTAAGTGCAAATTTTTTCTTACGCAGGAAATATTGTTATAAAACAACAGTTAACTTATTGTTAACTACTAATGAAAATGTATTAACGGAAGGCACAGAACAGTATTTTAACAATGACAATAAAAAGCACAAAGAAGTGGTGCAGAGTAATATTGCATTAAATTAGATACTTGCAGTTATAAGTAGATCCAGTTGACTGACCTTTAAGGAAAAATACAACCACTTCTAATTGCAACTGACACGTGCAGGCATAGAAAGTGCTTACGGTTGAACAGAATATTCAAAACATCTTTATCAGGAAAGCGTAAAGCCGGAGAGAATTGAGGATCTCAGCAGCTTCTACATAATTCAATCTTTTTGAATACAATAAATAAATACTTGGCTGAAAATATGGGTTATTTAATATGTCAACATATGGAAAATGGTTGAATAACGTGCATATTGTATTGGTATTATGGGTACTGTCATTTTAAGGTGACCTTTCAATCTTTATTCACAGCGTAAATAATGATTTAGGGTTAACAATTTACAATAACTCTTAGTAGTAAATATTGAATTGTAACCACTTTCACCAACCTTCCTATTAGCCTGTCGAACCGCGAGTACTATAACTACTTTGGAAGTTTCGTAAAACTAAAATTGTAAAATATTTTGTACACTGTTGAAATGGAATATTGTCCTGTTTTTGAGTTTGTATTTCAAATAAAATTTCGAGAAGACATGCTTACATCTCATTGTTGTATATTTCTCTAGTTCATCAGTTATAAGATATGCTTTTATTGCGACGATTAAAGTTCATGACTGCGTTGAAGCACCTCCAAGTACCTAATAGTTCTTATAACTCTTTTATTATAAATATATATTCGTTTATCAAAAAAAAAGTCATGGATATGAAGGACTATTCATTGATTTCAACGAACTGGTATTTAAATTAACTAAGATAACCAAGCTACACACATTATGGAATTGGTGGACTGAGTGGGTAGAACCATTTGAGTAGAAGTACATACGATAATATATGTATTAAACTGCAAAACTAAACCTCTCGGGTGAAATATCTTAATATAAAAACCGGTTTCGGTATATCAGGTGAACTTTTAGGGTTTCATCTTTCTAATATATTTATAACCATACTTAATGGCCTACTAAAAGGTTTGATAAGTACGGAATTTTGAAATAAAAGCAATGTTTCTTAAGATCATGAAGATACTGCAGTTGCTTATATAATGAGATATAAGCGAGATAATGTGTATTTCTTGATAAGATAAAATATAGGGTGGAATATTTATTGGAATCTATCAAATAGTGAATGTGTAATGAAAAATAAGGTAAATAGAAAGAGGAATATTTCTTGGAATATATAATAGAGAGGGAATGTGAAATGGAAGGTAAGATAAAAATAGAGGGTGGAATATTTATTGGAATCTATTAAATAGTGAATGTGAAATGAACAATAAGGTAAATAGAAAGAGGAATATTTCTTGGAATATATATTAGAGAGGGAATGTGAAATGGAAGGTAAGATAAAATAGAGGATGGAATATTATTTGGAATATATTATAGAATGAATGTGAAATTGAAGGTAAGATAAAAATAGAGGGAGGGATATTTCTTGGAATATATATTAGAGAGTGAGTATGAAATTGAAGGTAAGATAAAAATAGAGGGAGGATATTTCTTGGAATATATATTTGAGAGTGAATGTGAAAGGAAAGGTAAGGTAAAGTTAGAGGGAGGAATATTTCTTGGAATATGTTTAAGAGTGAATGTGAAATGATGATGAAGCAAAAATGAAGAGAGAGAAATATATCTTAGAAAATAGTAAACTGCTGAAGTCCAGATGTCATGTAACGATAGATGAAGTATAAAATAAGATGCCATATACTTTTTTTCAGATAAGGAAATATATAAATTAGAGATGCTATGTATTGAATGAAGAATTAGAGAAAGGGAGAATAGCTATGGATACAGCATGTAAAAAAAGTATGTTTATGTAATTGACAACAGAGTATAGAAACAGTACATTACAAAACACGATACTGGGGTGAATACACGTGGTTTTGTGAAGGAAGGAGAAATCATAAGTTAAGGTATCGTGATTGACTGCAAAGTAGATGTTTTGTGGTTGATTGTTAGATGGAGAACATATTAAATATAGTGTGCTTAAACAGTTGAAAGTGTTCGTGTAATTATAAATGAATTAGAAATAAAAGATCACAGTTTACGATAGTTCCTCAACGAATGTTAGAGGTTTATGTCATTGAACATAAAGTAGGGCGAGATAATATCGTGAATTATGCTCTTAATTGAAATAAAGGCATTCGTGTATTGGAAGATGAAGTAAAAAAAAACAGCAATTTAGAATAGGTTATTTAAACGAGGTGGTTGTCTGTATAATGGTGGATTAAGCATAACTCAGAGTTAGTTGTCTAGATGAAATGCAGGTGTCTGTGTAATGGAGGATGAAGAAGGAAAACATAACCCTGTATAGGTTGTTTGAATGAAATGCGGGTATTTGAGTAATGGCGGATAAAGAAGGAAAACATAATCCTGTGTAGGTTGTTTGGATGAAATGCGGGTGTCTGTGTAATGGAGGATAAAGAAGGAAAACATAACCCTGTGCAGGTTGTTTGACTTAAATGCGGGTGTCTGTGTAATGGAGGATAAAGAAGGAAAACATAACCCTGTGCAGGTTGTTTAATTTAAATGCGGGTGTCTGTGTAATGGAGGATAAAGAAGGAAAACATAACCCTGTGCAGGTTGTTTAATTTAAATGCGGGTGTCTGTGTAATGGAGGATAAAACGTAACCCTGTGTATGTTGTTTGGATGAAATACAGGTGACTATGTAATGGGGGATTAAGCAAAAAAAAAAAGGCATAACACAGGGTAGTTTGTTTGGAAGAAATAGAGATGTCTGTGTAATGGAGGATTAAGCAGGAAAGAAGCATATTTCATGATAGATTGTTTGTATGAAATGCAATTATTTGGATGATTGAAGATGTAGTAAAGGAGATAAAATGACGAAATCTTTTTACTTATGTGATGAAAGGTCAGATCGAAACAGACCACGTGTCCTAAAATAATGCGTTGGGATAAAGTGTATGTGCTTGAAAATATGAAGAGTATATGACGTGATACAACTTCCTTCGGGATATGGTGCTGGGAAGAACTGCAGGTGTTCATTTAAATGAAGACAAATTCGATAGCCAAGAAACAGTAAATGACAAACAGTTAGGGAGGATGACTTAGGAGGAAAGTATAATTCATCAGATGATGAGAAGCTTTCTTTTGGATGTCGTCATTTGGAAACAAAAACAAAATACAGACTGAAAAAAATACCTTAGGAATGAGAGGACGGAATGAATAACTAATGTGTGATAAATGACCAAGAATAAACATTTAAGGAATAAAACATTAAAGAGGAGAAAACAATTCTATAGGATGCAGTGATTTGGTAAAAATATATACAAAGAGGATATAGAAAACAAAATACCAAATCACAAACTCGTTTAATTCAAATGTTTAATCATATTTTTCATATCATTTTGGAGCAAACTTTTTTTTTCTATTTTTAGATGCAAAAAGTAATATTTTGTACATACACATACTTGACTGATATTTAAACTAATGGAATAATGACGCCTAAAATATCACCAACAGGGATGGTCCCTAGATGATGAAATAATGTGTCATAATCACTATAAATGTTGAATGTTCTTATTGTTTTGGAATGCAACTAAGACGTGGTCTAATAAAGAGATTCATGAAAGTGGCTAGCCGAGAAGACTATTTTTCCTGTGGTTGTCAGAAGACTGGAATAGATGTTTCGGTATCAAAGTATGTGCTAGGTTTTTATGATTTTTGTTAGTTTGTTGCTAGGCGCAAAGATACATAATGGACTGTCTGTGCTGTGACCACAACGGGGATCGAAACCCGATTTTTAGTTTTATGTGTTTAGCTTGACCGCTGAGTCACTAGGGGGCGTTTTTATTATTACAGTCGAATAGTGAACTTCGAAATGCGTTTAATTGAAAACTTTCTCATTCCACTGTGACAAAAAAAAGAAGAAAATCTAGAAAAATCTTTGTTAGTGTAAAAACAACCTCCATGCTTACCTCCATAATAGAATTAGTTAAAAATTCAACAAACTCTAACCCGGTAAGAACACTCAAGTGAAAGAAATGTCCTAAGTTTCTAAAGATATAAATATGATAAAGAATAAAAGATTTCGTTTCTTTCCAGAGTTAATCAACGTTCCATAGCTAATACAATAGCAAATGGTTCGTTGTAGCGACCATTCTTCGCCTACAGAAGTTTTCAGACTCAATCAAGAGCGCTTTGATTGGACGACTCAAGATTCAAAGAATTTCTTTATATCTTTTGTGAACAAAACATATGAAGTGTTGAAAATCTTCAAAAGAGGTTAGTCTGTACACTTGTATTAATGACATTTGTTATATAGAAATAAGATGCGTGGAAAGGTATAATTTGATAAGCTAGTTATCTTATTATAATTAAGAACTTGTCAATGAATTTTATACCATGCAATTATCGGCAAAAAAAAAAAAAAGACCACAGAAAAGAGTTTTACACAACTTGAGAAATACTGGCTGAGAATTTTTTTATTTCCAAATCATAAGTAGTTTCTATCTATTTAACCATTTTATTTGCACGTTCAACACCACTGCCCCCCACCTCCCAGTGGCACAGCGGTATGTCTGCGGACTTACACTGCTAGAAACCGGGTTTCGATATCCGTGGTGGGCGGAGCACTAGATAACTCATTGTGTAGCTTTGTGATTAACTACAAACAAACAATCAAAACCACGGTTTTAAATTCCATCCAAAATAGAGCTTCCTCAAATAATGTAAAAATATAAAACATTATGACACTACCTCAATAAGCTTGACTTGTCCTGTGGATAAGAGGGTCCACGTCTCGTTGCTGCAAAACCGCGCTCCGCACCTTGGAGCCGTGGATGAGTTATAAGAGTGACGGGCAAATCCTGCAATTTGATCAGAATAGCTCAAGAGTTGGCAGTGGATACTATTGGCTATATGCCTTCCTTTTAGTCAATTAGTTCCAAATTATGTACAGCTAACGCAAACAATCCTAGTGTCGCTTTGTGCAAATATCCGAAACAAATTAACAGATCCTTAATCCTTGTTACAGGTTTGGTGATACATCAAATTGGGCATAATGAGTAATTTGTCAAAAAAGGACGAATTGAGAATGTTCGGCGCTAAGGAGAAATTACAAATGTGTTGAAATATGTTATAGCAACGCTAAATTATAGAGTTTTTGTTAGGAATGCATCCCTAGTAACAACAGATACTTGGAACAAACACTTTCTAATCATTTAGGAACATTTATAAGTCTGATAAGAATTCTACAAGTGTTTATTTAGAAAGATACTTCTGATAACGATCCTGTACGGGTTCGATATTGGCAATTGTTTATTTAGAAAGATACTTCTGATAACGATCCTGTACGGGTTCGATATTGGCAATTGTTTGTTTATAAAGATACTTCTGATAACGATCCTGTACGGGTTCGATATTGGCAAGTGTTTGTTTAGAAAGATACTTCCGATAACAATCCTGTACGGGTTCGATATTGGCCAGTGTTTGTTTAGAAAGATACTTCTGATAACGATCCTGTACGGGTTCGATATTGGCAAGTGTTTGTTTAGAAAGATACTTCTGATAACGATCCTGTACGTGTTCGATATTGGCAAGTGTTTGTTTAGAAAGATACTTCTGATAACGATCCTGTACGGGTTCGATATTGGCAAGTGTTTGTTTAGAAATATACTTCTGATAACGATCCTGTACGTGTTCAATATTGGCCAGTGTTTGTTTAGAAATATACTCCTGATAAGAATTCTGCAAGTGTTCAATATTGGCCAGTGTTTGTTTAGAAAGATACTCCTGACAAGGATCCTGTACGTATTCGATATTGGTCAGTATTTGTTTAGAAAGATACTTCTGACAAGGATTCTGCAAATGTTCGATATTGCTCGATTTCCACTAACTTCCTCAAGTTTGACGATATTAACGACCAAGTGAATTGCTTTTCTTAAAGGAGAGGATTTGGGTTAGATCTTCCCTGAACAGTATTTATGATTCTCAATGATGAAAGTTTGTTCCTAAAAAACAAGGAATTTTAATAATATAATAATATCATTACGAGTTAATTTTAGTAATCATCCTGTACTTGTTTCATTCCTCGTTTTGGTTTCATCTTTATATGTTTAAAAAAACTGAATGTTTTTTCTTTTTAATTTCAGATACTTTGGTCTTCTTTCAAGAACTTCACGAGAAAAAGTTATAACATAAGAGGACAAACTGGAAAGTACGGTTTCAAAAGCAATAAGAATACTGCGAAGTTTTTAAAAAATAAGGTCAAAAGAAACAAGAGTTTAATATATAACAGGGAATATTTACAGATATAAACTGAATCTCCTCCGGCTTAATAAAAGACACAACTTCCAACTACCACTAGTCTATTATAACCATTAACTTGCTATTTTCCAAGGAATTTTTTTACTGAAAATAGTACCCAAAGAGTTAATTAGATATTTTTTTCATAAACTGAATGGTTTTAACAGCTCATAGTACCTGGATGTTATTAATATTACATGTGTAAAATCAATAAGATGCATTTAAATTACTTAGATTAGAAATTGTTTAATTGTTGTATAATTTTTGCGCAAAGCTACAAAAAAAAAAGGTTATCTGCGCATAGCTATCCCTAATTTTGAACTGATAGGCTAGACGGAGGAAAGCAAGACAAAATCAAACGAGGGAAGCCAATTTTTAGTCTACTCTTGTTTGACCGAATAGTAGGAGTTTAAACATAGAGATACGTTTCAGAGAAATAAACTCCACATTTTGACCCTTTATAAACAGGAATTATCTTTTAAGGAAACATATCTCACGTTCTGACCCTTTTCATACAAGAAGTTACCATTCAAAGAACTAGACCCCACGTTTTGCCCTTTTTCAAATAAGGAATTATCTACCAAATCATGTGCCTAGATTCTCACTGAGATAAAATGCATAGAACAAACTGCGGTCAACTTAGAATACTTAGATTTTTTTGCAAACAAGATATCTCTCTTGTCGATTCTTTTACTTCGTTAGAACAGAAACTGATCCTGCATAGTTGGAAAAGGAGACAAACCATGACATATAGATGTATTTTGACAAGAGTTTATCTTCTCGCTTTGCTTCTTTATCTGCTGAACTCAAAATATGATGTTTCGTTGTTTATTCCTTGATCCGCTAACTACGTGTATGCAAACGTTATTCCACGAAAGGATGACCTTACAGTGGCCACTCCATTACTTTCTTACGATAAGAAATTATCTTAAATGATTCATACCATGATTCCGTTCAAACTTAGATTGTCTTCTGACAGTAAACGAATTTCGTTAACACTGATTTATGTTTTAGATTTTATTGTATAGTCATCTATCAACAGGAAGTATTATTTCCGTCCTTATCCTTATGGCTTTCTTAAGAAACGAAATAGAGTCTCTATGGTGATTCGCAAGTAACAATGAATGATATTTCCCAGCCTTTGTGTAGATCTTTTCTTAACAGTTCTTATTTTGCTTGAGTCACATAAATAGTTTTTTACTTTAACAAACGTTATGTCCGGCAGAAGTTTGTACCAAACTTGCACAAACACATATATATATAATACTATAGTATTATCATCTAATGTTCACTGTATAGGCCTCTTGGTAATATATATTTCACCAGAAAACGATGTAGAAGACGTCTCAGTAATGTTGATCATCTGTAAACTGCGGTGAAACGTTGACTAGGGACACATCTGTAACACTCTAGTATACTATTCCTGGAGACTGCGTATTGCTATATAAATACACAACCAGTTTCAGACTAAAACAAGCAGTTACCACTACAGCTATCAAGAGGATGCTGTTGATGTTGAAGTGCTGATTAACAGATATGATGATGCTGATGTTTGGAACTGTTATGATGTCAAGCTTACAGCACTGGCTGCTTGAGGAGATATGTATTGACTATTACTTAATAACTGGATATAGAGGTTATATTAATTGACAGTTACTTAATATATTGGTAGAAAGTATTATAGTTCCCTAAAATTATTATTGTTTCAACATAAAGATTATTATTTCGGGATAGGTTTTATTAGCTCTCCCATGTATTTCAATAGTATCGACACTAACATGTGAGGTATTTACAAAAGATTGTTCAAGGCAGTAAAACATCACCACTCACGTTACAGTATACTGCAGATGAACTATTTGTTTGTTTGTTTGAAGTTAATCACAAAGCTACACAATGGGCTATCTGTGCTCTGCCCACCACGGGTATCGAAAGCCGGTTTCTAGCGTTGTAAGTCCGCAGACATTCCGCTGTGCCACTGTGGGCGCAGTAGAACGACTAGGCTTCTTTAATAACACTGATTTTGAAACAAAAAAGATTAAGATCTAACAAGATGAAAACAAAATCGTGGCAGAATAGAGATCTAAAATTATTTACCAATATACCCTCAGGTTCTGAATGATTAAATTGATTTAAGTTTTTGAAATAACGTTATTTTAATCAGCGATCAGTAATTAAAATAACCAGGAAAATAAACAGAGAAACACTTGGTGGCACAAGAACGAGAAAACTACAAAAATATAGTAAGATCATGTGTGAATCCAATTATTTCCACATTAGGGTAACCAATGAATACATAGAAACCTATTCCAGAAATAATACCGTTTTATTAAGTAAACAAACATGACACAAATGACAAAAGATTATATTTAGTATTTGGTGAAGCTATCCTTTGAAATATTCTAGACAGAAACATGGTTACACGTCGTATTTAACAGATCTTAAAACTGAGCCTAAAGGATTTTCCTCCATTCTTGGCGTAGGGCTTGAATATGGATCTTTATGTCTCGCTCTTTTTTTTGTTCATAAGGAAAGGTCAAGGATGGAACACACACATTCTTGATAGTGTTCATATCCAGCGACAGTTCTGGCCACGGTAGAGTGGTGAGGCCTCAACCTTCATAGTCATCGTTTTGTGACTCGGGCTAAATGAGCAGGAGCCCCATTTTGCATGAAAACACTACCTTGTCTAGTAAACTGGATATTGTCGTAGACAGGTAAAAGGTCTTGCTCAGAACTGTGATGAATTGAGCAGAAGTGCCAGTCGCTTTGCATGCCACCAGCTGTGATCGTGAATTATACAAGTAGTAATTGTAGCATATGGGAAAAATTACAGTATCCCAAAATGTAGGCGAGTGTGATACATCTGTGATGCCCACTGCTGTTGTTGTACGATATTTCTTGAAGTGAGGAGTGACTTCCGTCTAGCTACATTGCCACTGTAGTGCGAATCACGTTATAAAGATAATTTCTAATGACACTGGGACACACATTCATCTGTTCTACAGCAGTAACGACTGTCAGTCGTTGGTCATTCTCCACATTTCTCGCACTACGAAGAGCCCGTTATGTTGGTTTGGGTTATCCGAGCCGTGCAGCGGTGTCTTGTAAGAAACTTAGCGATTTATCTTTGATTTTACACGTCCTCAAATCGTCCAACTATGCGATCTCTTAAAAGTAAGGTTAATTTATTCCCGGGATTTTTTCGTTTGCGGCTATTTACATATTACGTCATGTAGATGTTGGAGTATCTGTTTACTTAGTGATAGGCTATGCACATACTATATGTAAAATTATCAGTATCTCGTTAAAAAAAAAGGTAAAAATGACTTCCACACGCACACCTACATGTGCATTTCGAATAGTATGTTTGGACTTGTTTAGTAAGAGCTCCCCCTCAGCCTCAAAATAAAAGCGAAGCCACAGTTTAAAACTCAAGGAAATCTTGAAAAAAATTGATACATTTAAAACTAGGAATTGATCGTACAGAAATTAGTATTTTAATCATCACAATATCCAGGAAACAAGAAAAAAGCAGTCTAATTTCCTTTCAACAATAATTAAAGTTTTCGAACAATACAAGTTTTGTGCTTGTCGGTTCACTTCTTGCAGAGGAATTGTCAATTGAAAATTAGGCCTTCCTCCGTTTCTGTGAGGATTTCGGCAAAAGTTCATTGCATTTTTTCAAAGTAATCTACCTATAAAAGATCAGTTTTAAGTGTTTAAATAGCCAATATACACTGGAAGAGTGCCTGAAAGTCATGTATATCCTAGACTTGATTGCAAGACAAATATAGACAATATACAATGGAATAATGTTTAAAAGTCATGTTTACCCTAGTTTCAGCTGTAAGTGCTAAAGAGTCAATATACAAGAAAGTCTAAAAGTCATGTTTACCCTAGATTCAGTTGCAAGTGCAAGGTGTAATGGTTGCATGAAATTCAAACGTTGTGGATGCAATCACGATTGGGTTCTTGTTAAAGATAAAACGATCAGAAAGCAGTGTCGCAGAAAACGTTAAACCCAATAAAAGACAGTCAATAAAACTATGAAGCGGAGGGAATAATAAGAATAAGATAATTTGTTCACCTCATAGTAAACACTTTCATTATTTTAGATCGTTGAATTATTGACAGAGTTAGATTAACTGATAACTAATCATATAAAATAATTGAATATTTATCGTTGTTTCTACTAAGAGCGAAGAGAGTCCTAGAGTTGAATACCATTCTTAAAATGGTGCAAATCAGGAATGGTCCTGGGCAAAAGTAGCATTGTTTGGTGAAGACTTCTAATCAACACCAAAACAATATCTCGGATTTTTATTGCGTTTCTCTGAACAAGATTTCGAATCGAAAATTCATGAAAAGTTTTATATGAGAATGCCCCCCCCCCCTTAGTGGCACAGCGGTAAGTTTGAAGGCTTATGGCGCTAAAGACCGGGTTTTGATACCCGTGGTAGTAAAGCATATATTTCGTAACTTTGTGCCTAACTAAAATCAAACAAATTATAAATTGTTCTAGCGTATTTTTTATTGTTCAAAGTGTAGCTTTGTGCTTAACTAAAAAGAAACAAATAAATTGGTTAAGCGTATTTTTTTTTGTTCAAAGTTAAAACATGAATAAAGCTATATATATATATATATATATATATAACAATAATGTTTCTCAAGCTGATTTTCAACGTAATTTACGAGAAATGTAGTTTTTCGTATATGCAAAAACTATTTTCAGTTTTTCCAATCGAGTAATTTGTGTGTCATTTAGCATAAAACTTTGCCCATCGTGGTTATCAAAACTAGATTTTTAACATTATAGGCTTTTAGGCTTAGCTGAACCACTAAGGTTTAGGCTTAGCTGAGTCACCAAGAGCTTTCCAATCGAGGACTGAGTATTGTGGTAACTTACATCGT